TGCGGGTTGGTGCCTGAGGATGTGGGAATGCCACGTCAGGGGCCCTCCGTCTGAGGGCAGCGGTTCGGGGGGGGAGGAGGTATTCAAGTATGCTGCTCAAGTCGGCTATTCAAGTGGGCTGTTCAAATAGGCTAGTTGGGGGCAGTGCTATTAAAGTACGCTCTCGCGCGTGCCCCTTGCCCGTGTGTCGCGCCGCGCCGTGTCAGGTAGTGCTGTTTGGGGTCTACGTGTCCGTGGAGCTGTTTGGGGTCTACGTGCCCGTTGGAGTCTACGTGCCGCGCCGTGCCAGGTAGCACTGTTTGGGTAGCTTTGCGATCCTTCAGCCGCCCATTTCATTCCAAGAACTTGATGAATTCCCATCGCGTTCCATACTTGACGAGTTCCCACACGTTCCATACTTGACGGCTTCCCATCGCGTTCCATACTCCATACTCGACGAGTTCCATTCGCGCCATGGCTGAGACAGCGTCTTCAGCGGCGCAGGGGCCACCAGCGGATGGGGGGGGGGGGGCAAAATACGAGTTCCATATTCGGGAGATGATACCAGCGGCCACTTACAATTGCGATGGTTTGCCGTTCGGGCACGCAAAAGATCATTGTGGAGCACGAGGTGGCACAGAAGCAGGGGCTCGTGATCAAGCTTCGGCCCGCAGCTCCGCCGCCCGCTGGCGCATCGCAGGGGCAGCGCCATCTGTTCAAGCGCCTGACGGATGACAGCCCGAAGCCGCATCAGGAGAATGGGTCTATCAAAGTGCGGAGGTGCCCCCCGATGACCAAGGCAGAGGAAGGCGAGGGGATAGTCTCGTCGCACGAGGAGGAGGTTACCAAGGAGAAGACGGACGTTACCAAGGAGAAGAACGTGGCGCTGGCGGCCCCGCTGCGAGCTACCGCGTGGCCAGAGCAGGGTGCGACGCCCACGGTGGTGGAAGGCGCTGGTGAGATCACGGACGCGGGCGCATCGTTCATCGTCCACGAGGCCCTTCTCGGCCACGGTGGTGAATCGTACCAGCAAGCCCTTCGAGAGCGTTCAGTCTCGCCCCTCGCGGCGTCGCAGATCGCAGAGGAGGCCCCGCCCGCTGCTGCTTCGCCCCCCCAAGGAACTCGACGGTTGCAGATAAGAACGACGGCCTTTTCGAGGATCAGGCCGCCAGGAAGTCGCCCAATGATGTTCTCCGTGGCATGGGCATAAACCCCGAGGACATTAGCAACCACGTGGTGGATGTCAGCCAGGATACGCAGGGGTACTGATCTTCCAAGCTCTGGCCGATGCCGTTTTCGAGGGTCGGGGCTTGTTGTGCCCAACTCGTTGTTAGGGTCCTTGTATATTGCTTGCCTAGAGCCGACTTCAGTATCGGCCGTGAGAGCCGACGGTTGCCAATAGCCATTGGCTCCCCTCTCGTCGGAGGCCTCTGAGAGAACATCATGTTCAAACTGTTGTCGCATTCGGGCACTACCGTCATCATCATCATCAGCAGTATCATCATCATCATCGTCGTCACTACCACCATCAGTACCATCACCATCAGCACTACCATCACAACTACCATCATCATCACCATTGTCAATACTATCGCCATCACCATCATCACAACCACCGACACTACCATCTTGGTCACAAGCACGCCGCCGTCACCATCACCACCATTACGACCATCACCACTACGAATGACCACTACCATCATCATCATTACTGCCAGCACCGCCATTACCATCGCTACTGGATCACTGGGCACTCGCCACAAGCATCGCCATTGCCATTGCCTCTGAAGAGTCGGTCGCAACCCAGTCTGTTTCAAGATTTGAGTTGGCTCAGGGCCGATTGCGCGCGGAACGTCCCGACCATATTTGCAGTTCGTTTTTCTGTGATGACACCGAAGCTCCAGCCGACCGGGCGCCCACATTGGGTTAATCGGATCCAAGATCGCGTGCTCAAGAAACGCTGTCTCGCGCTGCTCAAGAAGTTCAAGTTCAAAAAGGTCAAGACTTGGCGTCTCTCAGTCAGGACCGCGTGATGCGCACCAGGTTGAACGCGATCTCTAACTTGTCGCAAGTAGCCCTGGCAGCAGACGACGTGCAGGCCCAGCAAGACATGGAGCACCTAAACACAATCAGGGGCATCCCACTTGACTGATCGAAGTCTGCGGCGGTCCTCAAGAGACGCTTCCCTTCTGCCGCTGATGCCGTGGACGGGCTGCGTTCAGTGTAGGGCCATCGTGTGCAAGCGTTCGTGTATAGGGGCATCTCCAGCAGCGTCCGTGTGCAAGCGTTCGTGCATGAGAGATCGCCGAGGAGCCTGACTCGAGTACGGCATTCGCGTGCTGAGCCAGCACTTGCCGCACATTGCACGCCCCTTCTGTTGGGGGCCAAGAAGAACAGATGGCCAGCGACGCAGTCGTCGTCTTCATCACCGTCGCCTCCTGGATAGGAGGTGCAGAGGCGACGCAACCGCCGCTGCCGTCACCATCGCCACTGCCATCGGCCCTCCATACCACCACCACCACCATCTCCGGCATCACAAATATCATAACCACCACCAGCATCCTCACCACGACCGTCATCATCGCCTCCATCACCACCGTACCACTGCCATCCTCAACAGCAATATCATCACCATCACCACTAACAACACTACCATCATACACATTATCACCACCACTCGACTTACCGTCAACACTGCCATCGCAACCACCACTACTAGCACAATTCTCATCACCATTACCACCAACATCACAATCACAATTATAATTACCATCACCACTACCACCGTTCTCGTTACTATGGTTGTCATTACCTATACCATTATCATCAGACCAATATCATCACCAGCACCATAATCAGCATCATGCTCCTCGCAGCTACCAATGCCATTGCGACTACCCCCATCACTGCCATATTCATCCCGCTGTCTGGGGTCCACGCTGTTTGGGTCCATGATGCCTGGGGTCCGCGCTGTTTGGGGTCCATGCTGTTTGGGGTCACTGCTGTCTGGTGTCCACGTTGTTTGGGGGTCCATCAGTTAGGTTTGGGGTATTTGTTGTTTGGGGTCCACGCTGTGTGGGGTCCACGCTGTCTGTGGTCTCTGCTGTTTGGGGTCTACGCTGGTTGGGGTACATACTGTTTGGGGTCCTTGCTGTCTGGGGCCCAAGCTGTTCGGAGTCCATCAATCCTGTGGTGGGTCTCTGCTGATTGGGGTCCACGCTGTTTGGGGCCCACGCTGTCTGCGGTCTCTGCTGTTTGGGGTCCATGGCTAAGCTAAGGCGCCATTCCTGTAGACCGACCCCAAACGAGTCTGGTTGCGCATGCGACGCCGCAGTGGCGACTGCTCATAGCCGTTTTGGCCTTGGAGTTCCCGCGGCGCCATCGTGTCGCTCGGGGCCGACCCTCCGCGTGGCGGGAGCCAGGGTCTGAACGGGGCGATGGGGGTCGGTCGCGGCCGCGGCAGGGGCCAGACACGACCTGATCCATCAGCGTCAGATAACGAGGCCCTTGTTCCCAAGGCTCTGCCCGCGAAATCTAAACCGCACACCTCGGCGGGCGCGTCCACGGCGCCACCCCCGTCCTGCGGCGCGGGCGCGACGAAGGGTTCCCGCGGCAAGAGGAAGCCGAAGTGCGACTTCTGCGGCGAGTGCCATGACGGCGCCCAGGAGACCAGGGGAAAAAGGGTCCAAACAACGGGCGCGGGGCACCCTCTTGAGCCGTATGGAAGCCCTTCTCTGGCTTCCCCTGGGCCGCCATGGAAGGGTCTTAGGTTGTCAAGTTGTTTGCGGCAGTCGCGGGCCTCAAGCAGGTACCTCGATTGGTTTTGGGCCGGATTCTCGGGCCTCCCTCGGGACGTATTGGGGGCATCTTGGGCCGTCTTGGGCCGCTCTCCTGGGTCGTCCTGGATGTCTCCTGGTCTGTGTTGAAGCGTTCTGGAGGCCACTTCTTTAGCTTGTGGAACGCTCTGGGGCAGTCCTGGAGCTTCCTAGTCCGTCCTGGGCAGTATCGGAATTCTCTCGGGGGGCTCATGCGCCGTGCTGGGGCCCTCCTGGGGCCTCTTGGGCCCCTCCGGCCGCCTTAGAATCATCGTCGGATGCCGTCTTGAAGCAGCTTAGGCCGTCTTGAGGCCATGGTGGCCCGTCTTGGAGCGCGTGTGGACCCTCTCGAAGCTTCTTGGACCGTTTGGGGTTGGCAGGGTCTTCGCTGCCATCATTGTGGCACAATGGGCGCTCTCTCGGAGCGTTGTTTCGAGGCCTCCAGGGGCCGCGTTCTGAAGGCTTCGTGGCCAGAAGACTTGCCTATTCAACTCCCTACCTCCCCTCAGTCCGCTTTCATGTCATGTTTGAATTGCGCCCTGCCCGCAGTGCTTCGGCAAGGACGCCTGCATAAAGTGCTACCTCCTACTGGAGGCGCCGCCGCGGCTACATCCCGAGGGTAGATGCCGTGAAGGTGTACCGTGGGGACGACAGCTTCAAGGAGTGCTGAAACATCGGCATGAAGGCCGAGGCAGACGGGCCCATCTCGCCCGCGTTCGGCGAGGGGGAGGTGACATCCAACAAGAGGTCCCGCGTCGTGCACCGCGTGCCCTTCCTCCCCACTCAAGCTTGGCGAGTGCAATGGCAAGTTCGGCGCTTCCCCCCGCGCGCTCAGAGTGAAACCCGCGAGCGTCACTGACCTCGATGGCAAGGCTCGGAGCGTCTACCTGGTCAGGAACCCAGCGAGGTCAGACGTGGAGATGGACATTGAGAGGTCGAAGAGGTGACCAATAAAGGCAACGTCTGGAAGACCAGGGCGGCGTTCGATAATGAGGCCAGCAGGTTCTACGACAACGAGACGGAGAGGGTTCGCGACGAGAGCGCGCTTGGCTTCGCGAAAGCGCTCACCGAGGAGGGGATCAGGAGGAGAAGCGCCGCGGCCCCTCCAGCTCAACCCGATGGCGGTGGAGATGATGATGATGATGATGGCGGTGGCAGTGACTCGGGCGACAGCGACGCCAGCGGCGTTTCGGGCGACAACGACAGGCCAGGCGTGCCTGATGGGGGCGGTAGCCTCGAGCCTCAGGCCTCCAGCGCGCGCCATTTCCTGTCGGATCTCTCCGTGGATTCCAGGTCGGCGGCGCCGCCAGCGGGCCTGACCACCCCTGCCAAGGGTGCCGGGAGCGACGCCGTATCAGTGCTGGGCGGGGGCAGTCTGTCTGGTCGCAACGCATCCTTTCAGCGCGGCCCCTCTTCCGTCTACGGCGCCTACGGGGCAGGCGGGGGCCTCGACGACGGCCCGCCCGCCAGGAACGCCAAGGAACCCGTGGCGAAGCTGAGCGTCTGGGCCATCCTGGAGCACAAGAAGAAGGGCACCCAGATGCGGTGCGCCATGGAGTTCCTGCAGAAGGAGCCTGACGCACCCGACGCTGACATGCTGCAGGAGAAGATAGAGTTGGCGGCCACGTGCACGCAGTTTCATCGCGGCGGCGTCTTCGAGGTCAGCCTCACGGATTACAACGAGATCTGCGAGGGCTTGCTCAGCTCTGGAGGAGAGGCCCCCGCGGTTGCCAAGCAGTGCGTTCTCGACAGGCGCGTCGAGACCTGGCAGGAGGACCCAGATAGCTACAACAAGATTGACGAGATCATGGGCATCGTGTTCCCTTGGGACAGGGCGATGGCGAAGGACAAATCCTCGGGGAAAGAGAAAGGTGAAATGGGGCCCTTCGCGTGCACGTGTGACCCGACGAACCCCAGAGTGCGTGCCTTGGACATCTCCGACCCGGAGAGAGCTCTGAAGTTCGGTGAGACCGCAGGACCGCAGTTAAGGTCATGTTGGCGCCGATGCTTAAGATCGACCAGAGAGGCGCGCAGCAGGTGATCAATTTCCCCAAGGGCTTCCTGGCCGACTTGCTGAACATGCCAGCCGATGGCGTGGAAGAGACATTGGCCAACGTGGTCACCGAGCTGCTCACGTGCTTCAGGGGGATCCTGGTGATGATGTTCCAGACGGTGGACGGCGGCGGGCCCCGCGATGACTTCGCGGACCTGGCGACGCCGCCGAAGCAGTGCGCTTTAGCCCAATCGCTGGCCGCGACCATCCGCTCATCCATACTGGAGTGTTCAGACGGCTAACTACCTGAAGTACCGAAAGCCTCGCGAGAGGGCCGTGCCCCGCCTCCAGGAGATCAGGACCGCATTGGAACCAGGTGCAGCGGCCGTACCTTTGGACACGCTGAAGGCGTACATGGAGAGCATCTACATGCTGAAGGGCGAGCTGCCTGAGGACGCGTTCGATGGCATCATGGGTCCGCTGAAGGACTGCGCAATGCACAACCTCGCACTCAGTCACGACAAGCTGGGCTCTGCAGATGGGCCGTTGGACGCCTTGATCGCGCATGAGACGTTCTTCTTGGCGCCGTGCAATCTTTTCCCTTCGGGGCCGAATTCAAACATGCCATGGAGGACGTGCGGGATAGGAAAGCGGGGGTTGCGAACGAGACGTTGCTGATGGATCTGAAGGCGGCGTGCGAAGCCGCCGAGGCGGCGACCAGCTTCGAGGCACTCGTGGCCAAACAGGATGCGTTGGGATTATCGTTGTCGGCCGCGAATAGGCTGCGCGAGTACCCGGAGCTCAGCGCGCTGGGCGTGGACTCAATCACCCTCACGATGGTCGTCGGCATCGTCGCGTCTCTCTGGGGCCCTGACGGCTTCGCGGATGCCGCTTGCAGCAAGTTGATGGTCACCGACCTGCGCATGCTGAAGCCGTGGGCTCCAGCGAGCACCCATTCCATGAAGGGCGTCTCCGTCAGCTCGTTCCTCGAGGTGTTCGGCGAGGCGCTCGGCCTGGCCGAGCGTCGCCGTGCGACCGACATGAAGCACGGGAGCTCGGTCGAGGACCTCGTGAATAAGATCCCGCTGGAGGATGCGAAGGAGATGCTCGCGCTCGTCGGCCCCTTCAACACGAAGCTCGACGCATTGGACATGCAATTGACACAGAAAGGCGCCGCCATCAACGCTGCTGGCATCCACGTGTGTTTGAAGAGCACGCATACGTTCACCAGTGGCATCGTCGACCAGAAGCTGAACCACAACAAGATCAATATCGAGGACTACTCTGGCGACGCTGAGGTTTTGACGACTTGGGCAGGCGGCTGCAACGGTAAGATCTGGTCGGAGGAGCTCAAGCCAGATGACAAGATCGCGCTTGCTGCTACGAAAGCGTGCTAAGACAAGACGCTCGGGAACATTCCATCCAAGACGTTGGTGGACCTCGCGGCTCAGGTGGAAGAGACGTGGCGTCAGTTGAGGGAGAGGAAGACGATCCTCGAGGTGGGCCGTTCGCAGACCGTGTTCCCACCAGATCAGTTCGTGGTCGATGCGTTCAACGTTGTGCAGGGGGCGCTTACGACGATCTTTGAGGGTAAGGTCATCGGTTCCGTCGATGCGTTGAAAGGCAACCTGGTGCAGATGAAAACAGCGATCGGCGGCTACAAGAAGAAGGCTTCGACTTACGATCTGCGGGATGACAAGCCGTTCCAGATATGGGCGGAGGCGGTTCCAGCGGTTTTGGAGATAGAGAAAAAGGCCATGGCGATGATAAGGATCTCGTGAGACGATGGGCCAGCGCAGATTCTTTGCAGCCAGTATAAGACACTACGCGCGAGTGCAGAGCCAGAGCTGCGTATACGCAGCTTGAGGCGAGGGAGCTACCCATGCCATGGGCCATGGGACGGGGGAGCGGCCTGCGAGGGATCTACACTCCCCCGACTGGGGGCATTTCCTTCACTGTTGGTGGAAAATCCAGCCCTGGCTGGTTCGCCCCCCCCCCCCATCTATCCTTATCCTCTTCCCGAAGTGAGTTCGAAGGCGGAGTAGGATGTGGCGCAACCTATGTGGCGCAACCTATGTGGTGCAGTCTAGGTGGTGCAACTTATGTGGTGCAACCTATGTGGTGCAATCTTGGTGGTGTAAGCCCTGCCAGTGCAATCTATGCGGTGCAATCTTGATGCAATCTATGTGGCGCAACCTGCGTGGTGCAATTTTGGCCGCGTAAGCTATGCCAGTGCAGTCTACGTGGCGATGCCAATATGGCGGAAGCTGTGTGCTGCAATCCACTCTGCTGAACTTGAAGTCGTCATCTCCACTGCTCGCGCAAAACTCCCGCCCACCCACCCGCAACTTGGTTTGCAAAATCTCTTAGTACCGACTACGGCGACACCGACGACAACGACTAGGGCGACACCGGCGACGTCGACGACGACAACGACGCCGACGACGACGAAGACGACGACGACGACGCCAACGGAGGCGGCGACGACGAGGGAGGAGGAAGGACGACGACGGCGACAACGACGACAACGACGACAACGACGAGGGAAGAAGGAGGACGGCGACGACGCGAACGACGACGAAGGAGGAAGGACGGCGACGCCGACGACGACAACGACGAGGGAGGAGGGAAGACGACGACGACAACGACGACGACGACGGCGACGAAACAGGAGGGACGACGACGAGACGCCGACGACGGACGACGACGACGACGTGGGAGGAGGAGGAAGGAAGACCACGGCGACAACGACGACGGAAACGACCACGACGCCGCAGAGGACGACGACGACGAACACGAGAAAAGACAGAGGACGACGTAGGCGACGACGACGACGACGCGGGAGGACGGAGGACGGCGACGACGACGACGACGACGACGACGACGCAAAAGCGCGCGCGCACGCTTTTGCTCAAAATCCGTGCTTGGGCGCGCGATTTTGAAATCCTTACGAAACCGATGGGTTTTGAAGGTTTTCGGCGTGCGCCCGCGACGACGCGCGCGTTTGTACTTCGTCCCATTTTTTGCAGAGCATTCGCGCGACGGCGCACGCGCAAGGGCGTTCGACAGATTTCGACATGCGCGCGCGCGAAGCCCGTTTGGTAGCATTTTGTGAAAAGCTTGAAATCCCTATGGTTTTCTGAAGATTTCGCCAGAGCTCGCGCGGAAGTTTTTTAACAATTCTGTGTTGCGAAACCATGTGTTTTGTATTTTTTGGGGGAACTCGACTGCGACATCCCTCCGGCACCGATGGTTTTTGAAGGATTTCGGCATGCGCGCGCGACGACGCGCGCGTGTGCACTTCGTCTCATTTGTTGCAGGGGATTAGCGAAAAAATGCGATGTTAGAACAAAAAGAAGGTCACCGCATAGTTTATATATATATATATATATATATATATATATATAAAAGAACCTCAGGGGGAGGAACCCGGCCTGGCCGGGATGGTACGATTTCATATTTAGGATGGACGAGTGTGCAGAAAACGTATGAAATCGCATTATCCCAGGGGGAAGCGATAAGTCCGGGGGGGGGGTAGAGTTTTTTTTTGTTGGTAAAAAAACGAACATCTACGTGGGTCAAGATATGTGGTGCAGTCTATGTGGCGAAACTAATATTGACCGTCTTGAAGCTGTCCTCTCCCATGCTCGTGCAAACATCCCACCCTTCCACCCGCAACTTGGTCGCAAGACCTCTTCAGACAAGACCGTGACGGTAGGTACCACATGGCACTTGGCCACGACACCGATGCCGACGACGACAGCGACATCGACGACGACGGCGCCGCCGACAGCGACTGCGACGACACCGACGACGTCTCCAATGTTTTCGACGGCGACAACGACGACGACGACACCGACGACGACGACAACGACGCCGACGACGACGACGAAGACGACGACGACGTCGCCAACGGAGACGACGACGAGGGAGGAGAAAAAACGACGACGGCGACAACGACGACAACGACGATGGAGGAGGGAAGACGGCGACGACGCCAACGACGACGACGTCGCAAACGAAGACGACGACGAGGGAGGAGGGAGGACGACGACGGCGACAGCGGCGACAACGACGACAACGACGAGGGAGGAGGGAGGACGGCGACGACGCGAACGACGAAGAAGGAGGAAGGACGGCGACGCCGACGACGGCAACGACGAGGGAGGAGGGAAACGACGACGACGACGACGACGACGACGACGGCGACGAAATAGGAGGGACGACGACGAGACGCCGACGACGGACGACGACGACGACGTGGGAGGAGGAGGAAGGAAAACCACGGCGACAACGACGACGGAAACGACCACGACGCCAAAGAGGACGACGACGACGAACACGAGGAAGGACAGAGGACGACGTAGGCGACGACGACGACGACGACAACGACGCGGGAGGAGGGAGGACGGCGACGACGACGACGCAAGAGCGCGCGCGCACGCTTTTGTTGAAAATCCGTGTTGCGAAACCTTGGGTTTTTGCAGGTTCTTTGGACGCGTGATTTCGAAATCCTTCCGAAGCTTATGGATTTTGAAGGATTTCGGCGTACGCCCGCGACGACGCGCGCGTCTGTACTTCGTCCCTTTTTTTTGCAGAGGATTTTCGCGACGGCACACGCGCAAGGGCGTTCGACAGATTTCGACACGCGCGCGCGCGAAGCCCGTTTGGTAGCATGTTGTGAAAATCTTGAAAAACTGATGGTTTTCTGAAGATTTCGCAAGAGCTCGCGCGGAAGCTTTTTTAGCAAATCAGTGTTGCGAAGCCATGTGTTTTTGTATGTTTTTTGGAAGCTCGATTGCGAAATCTCTCCGGCGCCGAAGGTTTTTGAAGGATTTCGGCATGCGCGCGCGACGACGCGCGCGTGCGCACTTCGTCTCATTTGTTGCAAGGGATTCGTGAAAAAAGTGCTATGTTAGAACAAAGAAGGTCACCGCATAGTGTTTTTGTTTACAAGGGACCCTCAGGGGGGGGAAACCGGCCTGCCTGGGATGGTATATACGATTCCATATTTAGGATGGACGGTTTTGCAGAATATAATATATATATATATATATATATATATATATATATATATATATATATATATATATATATGAAATTATACTATCCCAGGGGGAGCTGATAAGTCCGGGTGGGGGGTATTCTGTTTTTAGAAAGGAGAATTGGCTACCCTGCACCGCGCTTGACCACCCCACTGCTCGCGCAAACATCCCATCCACCCACCCGCAACTTGGTTCGCAAAATCTCTGAAGACCGTGACGGTGGGTACCAAATTGCACTTGCCGACGACAGCGACGCCGACGACGACAGCGACAACGACGACGACGACGCCGCCGACAACGACTACGACGACACCGACGACGTCTCCAACGACTTCGACGACGCCGACAACGACGACGACGACGACGACGACGACGACGACGACGACGCGACGACGACGACGACGATGACAACGACGACGATGACAACGACGACGACGATGACGACGCCGACGACGACGACGACAACGACGACGCCGACGACGACGACGACGTCAACGACGCCGACGACGACGACGACGGCGACGACGACGGCGACGACGACGACGCCGACAACGACGACGAAGACGACGACGACGCCGACGCCGACGACGACGACGAAGACGACGACGACGTCGCCAACGAAGACCTATACGAGGGAGGACGACGACGGCGACAACGGCGAGGGAGGAGGGAGGACGGCGACGACACGAACGACGAAGACGGAGGAAGGACGGCGACGCCGACGACGGCAACGACGAGGGAGGAGGGAAGACGACGACGACGACAGTGACGACGACGACGACGACGGCGACGAAATAGGAGGGACGACGACGAGACTCCGACGACGGACGACGACGACGACGAGGGAGGAGGAGGAAGGAAAACCACGGCGACAACGACGACGGAAACGACCACGACGCCAAAGAGGACGACGACGACGAACACGAGGAAAGACAGAGGACGACGTAGGCGACGACGACGACGACAACGACGCGGGAGGAGGGAGGACGGCGACGACGACGACGACGACGACGCAAGAGCGCGCGCGCACGCTTGTGTTGAAAATCCGTGTTGCGAAACCTTGGGTTTTTGTAGGTTTTTTGGACGCGCGATCTCGAAATCCTTCCGAAACCGATAAGTTTTGAAGGATTTCGGCGTACGCGCGCGACCACGCGCGCGTCTGCACTTCGTCTCATTTTTTGCAGAGGATTCTCGCGACGGCACACGCGCAAGGGCGTTCGACAGATTTCGACATGCGCGCGCGCGAAGCCCGGTTGGTAGCATGTTGTGAAAATCTTGAAAAACTGATGGTTTTCTGAAGATTTCGCAAGAGCTCGCGCGGAAGCTTTTTTAGCAAATCAGTGTTGCGAAGCCATGTGTTTTTGTATGTTTTTTGGAAACTCGATTGCGAAATCTCTCCGGCACCGAAGGTTTTTGAAGGATTTCGGCATGCGCGCACGACGACGCGCGCGTGTGCACTTCGTCTCATCTGTTGCAAAGGATTCGTGAAAAAGTGTTTTGTTAGAGCAAACAATGTCACCGCATAGTGTTTTTTGCTGGAGGGCCTCAGGGGGGGAAACTGGCGTGCCTGGGATGGTGTGGTTTCATATTTAGGATGGACAATTGTGCAGAATATGTACGAAATCATGGTATCCAAGGGGGAATCTTTAAGTCCGGGGGGGGGGGGGTAGAGTCTATTCTCTTTTTAGAAAGGAGATTAAATGTTCTGTAAGCTACGTAGTGCAATATCTTTAGAGAACTCCCTATGTGGTGTAAGCTATGTAGTGCAATGCGCGTGTTGCAATCTAGTGGTGCAACCTATGTGCAGTAATCTATGCAGTCCAATATGTGGGGCTCTCGTGGGTCTCGCGGTGGTCCTCGTGAAAGCTCCCTCGGGACCTTGGAGGGTAGGGGTTGCCATTGCAATTCTCGGAGTGTTTCCTGCACGGTTGCGGGTTTCGTGTCGGCATGTTGTTCGGGCGCGCCTGGCCATCGAGCTTACCGATGCTCTCAGTGGTGCCCCAGGGCTCTCTTGAGTCAACAATCGGCCCCGCGCGGGCAGGCAAACGACCGACGCAAGACGTGCTCAATGGTGATGTGGTTGGAGCGGTGCGGATGGTCCTTTCAAGATGATTTGGAAAACAGCGCTGCTTTCTACACAACCAGCATTGCGCAATGTACCGAAATGCTGTCGTGCAGCCAGGTCGGTAACGCTCTGGGGTTAAATTCGGCCATGCGTAATGCAACTCTGTTCGCGTGCACTATGCGCTGCAGCACTTGTAATGTTACGCGCGCCTGTAGTACAACTCTGGAACGTAATCTAATGATTGTTGTTTTAACGTAGTGTGTTTTTGGAATACGTTTGGGGTGGTTTGGGGCTCATTATGTTGGCCACACTGAAACGCGTTCTGGGTATGGTTTGGGGGCGTTTAGGCGTTTTGAGGTCGGATGGCGGTTCCCTGAGACACACCAGATCATACATATAGCTCTATAGCCCCATAACCCAATAGCCCTATGGCCCTATAGGTCACAATCCTATAGCCCTATAGCCCGATATCCCCATAGCCCGATAGCCCTATAGCTCTATAGCCCCATAGCCCTATAGCCCTATATCCCAAAAAGAATATGATTGGGTTTTTTCTCCGGTATCATGATGTTGAAGGTTAGCAATGTGATGATGAGGGTGCCGATCACGATGTTGTTGTTGTTGATGATGGTGGGTCTTGGGCGATGGGGATGTTGCTGATGATGATGATGATGATGATGATCAGGATTACCATGCTGGTACTTCTGCTGCGGATGATGGTAACCGCGACAGTGATGATGTTGATGCTGACACTGTTGGTGATGACGTTGGTGATGATGCTGGTGATGAGAATGACGTTGACGGCAATGATGATGTCGATGATTATGCTGATATATGTCTGATGATTATGTTGACGATGATGACGATGCTGATTCTTCTGCCGATGATGATGATGATTCTGATGATGCTGCTGATGCACATGGTGATGATGCTGCTGATGCTTCTGATCATGACTGCCATTATGTTGCTGCTTCTGATGCTACTATTGATTATGATGGTGATGATGCTGCTGATAATGATGACGATAATGACGATGATGGTAATCAGGATAGCGATCGTCATGATTATGCTGATTGTGATGCAGACGACACTGATTTGGGTTAGATGTTGGCTGGCTACGGTGACGATGCTGACGGTTCGAAGTGTGCTGATGAGCATGACGATCACGTTGCGAAGATTGATGATGGTTGTAGTTATTTCTATCGATTGTCATGCGGCTGCTGCTGATGATAACCATGATGACGATGATGCTACTGTTGCTGCTGCTGAGGATGATGGTGGTGATGGTGAATGCGGCTCTGATGGTGATTATGATGCTATTGTTGGTGTTGTTGGTGTTGGTGGTGCTGGTGATGATGCTGATGATGATGCTGGCGCTGGCGCTTATGATGATGCTGCTGATGATGACGATGTTGCTGATGATGCTGTAGCTGCCAATGATGACGATAACGTTGATGATGGTGCTGATGATGATGAAGGTGATGCTTATGCTTCTGCTGATGATGATGCTGACAATGATAACGCTACTGATGCTTGTTATGATGAAACTGGTGATGGCGATGAAGGATGATGATGGTGATGAGGCGGAGGAGGATGAGGGTGATGACAGTGAGGATTTGGACGGTGATGCTGCTGAGGATGATGATGATGTTGGTGATGCTCATGCTGATGATGATGAGGACGAGGAGGGTAATGATAATGATTATGATGATAAGGATAATTGCATGCTGACGTTGGTGATGATGCTGTTGAGTATGATGACGATGACGGTGATGATGATGACAATGATGATGCTGTTGACGATGATGCTCCTGATGATGCAGTTGATGATGATCGTGACGATGCTGATGATGATGTTGTTGCTGCTGCTGATGAAGCTGATGGTGCTGCTGAAGATGATGAGGATACCGATGATGGTGATAATGATGCTGAGGAGGAGGAGAAGGATGAGCATGCTGATGATGCTGATGCGGATGAGGATGAGGATGTTGATGATAATGAGAATGATGATGATGATGATGATGACGACGATGCTGCTGATGATTACGATGCTGATGGTGATGACGATGCTGATGATGGTGATGATCATGATGATGGTGAAGCTGATGATACGGCTGCTCAATAGGATGGCGACCACGACGATGCTGCTGCTGATGACGATGATGACGACGGCGGTGATGATGATGCGCATGATGATGTCTCTTCTGCTGATGATGATGACTGTCATGATGATGATGGTGATGATGACGATGATGATGGCGACGGCACTGCTGCTGCTGACGATGACGATGGTGCTGGTGATGATGCTGATGATGATGATGCTGATGCTGCTGCTGATGCTGCTGCTGATGATGATACTGATGATGCCTATGGTGATGCTGATTATGACGATGCTGATGATGATAATGATGGTGCTGGTGATGTTGATGCTGATGATGAAGATGATGATGATGATGATTATGCTGATGCTGATGCTGATGCTGATACCGACGATGACGGCGACGCTTATGATGATGATGCTGATTTTCTTGATGGTGATGATGATGATGGTGATGCTGATGGTGATGGTGATGATGATGGTGATGGTGATGGTGATGATGATCATGATGATGCTGCTGCTGATGATGATGATGATGATGCTGATGCTGCTGCTGATGATGATGATTCTGATGACGAAGAGGAGGAGGAGGAGGAGGAAGATGAGGAGGAGGAGAAGCAGAGAAGAGGAGAAGAGAAGAGAAGAGGCGACTGAGGCGAAGGAGGAGGGGCAGAAGGAGGAGGAGGAAGAGGAGGCGGGCGAGAAGGAGGATGAGGAGGAGGAGGAGGGGGAGGAGGAGCAAGAGGAGGAGGATAGGGACAAGGAGGAGGAAGACGACGAGGCAGAGTAAGAACATACGTCTGATTTCATCGCCTGTCTCACCTCCCTCCCGCGCTGCCAGTGCTTCCGCGCCGAGCGGTTGCTGTTTGATCAGTCGAATTCCTTCTCACCTTCTGCTGTGTAGTACATTTGCTTTACGTTGGCACCTCCTCTAGAAGAACTGTCCCTGCATTGGGGACCCGTTTGACTATTGCACACGCTGGTTCTGCAGGTCTCCGTGCATTTGTTGCAGATGTAGTTCGTGTGGCGTTGATCATCCTGCTCTCTCGACGTGTCCAATCCAATCCTCCCTATCCCTCTGACCACGGTGCCTCCTCTCGCCTCGAGCATGTCGTTAACTTCCACCCGCGCCCCGTATCAGCTCTTCGTGCGTTGCCTTGCCGCGAGGACGTCAAGCGGCACATCCGCATGATCTTTTTGCATTACTGCGATGTCTCGAATCCGATGAAGTTTGGGCCTGGGGTGTGGGACGTACCGAGAGCGGGAGGGCGGGCGAGCGCATCTGCCAGCGGATCACGCGGCCCCCCCCGTGTTGCTTGCCTGTGTTTGAAGAGCACATGCAGGCACGCCGCGCAGGTGTGTGTGTGTGTGTGTGCGCGTGGGCGTCGAACAATCAGCACCTTGCGATGCGGCATCCTGAGACGACCAATGCGATCGGTCGGCTGAGCGCTCCGTCGGCCCCGCTGCCGCGAAAAAGCGAGCGGAACAAAAGCGCTGGATTTCCAGATGAGTGCGCGAAAATATCGGTGGCGTGCACAAATGGGGGTGGCGCGAATGGGGGGGGGTTCTAAGAAGGCAGGGGCGTTCGTAGAAGCGGCCGGAGGCTTCTCACAATCTTTCTTAGACGCCTTCGGGCGCTTCTAAGAAAGCCTCTGCCTTCTAAGAAGCCCACATGCCTTCTTAGAAAGCCCCCCCTCGAGCCATCCTCTTGAGCGCGCCGCCGGCATTGGGCATGGGGAAGCATGCTGCTCGGCAGGCACGGTCAATCTTGCCACCGCACGCCCGTATCTGCGCGCCTCCTGCAACTATCTTTGCAGGGGCCCGCCGCTGTCTGAGCGCACGCAGTACGGCACGCTGCGCATGCGCGGAAACGCCCGTCCTGAGTCCATTCCTTCTTGGTCGCGCGACGCGCGCGCGATACACCCTCTGGTTATGTGAGCACGTTTGATCGTGGGAAGGCGTGCGCGTCGCGAGGCGGCGAGGCTTGTTATTGTGAGAACGTCTGTGGGATCACGGTGTGGGCACGTGTGCGTGCGCGCGCACGTGAGCACGTATGGCTGGGCGACTTCCCCAACCCGCTGACAGAGGTGTGTGTGTGTGTGCCTCCTCGCTGCCCCGCGCCGCTCTCCTGCCCCGCTGCTGCCCGCTGCTGCCCGCTGCCCCCGCGCCCCAGCACCGCTCTCGGCCACTGCCCCGTGAGGCGCCGGCCGCCTCGCCTTTCCTAACCTCTCTTTCATTTTATCCTCTTCCGGCTACTGCGCGCCTCGCGAGGGGCGCCCAACGCGCTGGCGAGTCGCCGCGCCGCAACGACCGAAAAGTGTGTGTGTGTGTGTGTGTGTGTTTGTGTGTGTGTGTGTCACTTCCCGCTGGTCAGGACCGATCAGCCCCTCAGTGGATTGTTGCACCCACGACGGCTCCTGCTGCCACCGGTGCCTTGGTTGACCGTGGACGAACCCGCCGGGCTTTCGTCCCGCCCGGTCGTTGGTGCCCACGGTCTCCTCGACTACCTCCGCTCGGACGGTCACTTCGGTGCAGCCCCCCTCTCGCCATTCGAGCTAGGCGTCCAGTGCGGGTTCGCTTCAGCCTCCGTCATCAGCTGCCACGTGCGGCGCGGGGGACTGTACGTCCTCGCGGTGGTCCACCCCTTCATCCAGCTCTCTGCCGTCACTCGCTCGCCACCGGTGCTGGAAGCCTCCAGCCCTCCGGCCGCGTTCCCTCCTCGGGCCGCGGATCTCGACGATCGCTCTCGGGTCCCGATTCTCTTCACGTGCTCTGCCTGCGATAGCCAATTGTCGGTCTCCGACCCACCTCTCCAGCATCGGTTCGATGCGTACCCCAATGGCGCCCATCGGTATCCCGTGATCAATGGATGCGGTCTTCTCCCAGCCATGGCCGGAAGGTGTGTGCCCCCAGCCGCTCCCCGCCTGCCGCGGGCCGCTGCCCGCGCTCCGGCCTCCAACTCTACTGCTATGCCCAGCCTCCGCCTCCCAACGTTCTGCGGCCGCACCTGCATGCCCAGTGCGCATGCGGAGCGCAGACTTTGCTCCCAGATCTCAGGTCACGGCCAGAACTCGCCGGACCATCCCCCGCAGGGTAGGCCAGGTTGCCTTGCCCAGGCTCGAGGCTCTGGACGCCGCAGGCCTTCTCAACTCCTGCGACGAGAGCATCGGCGCCGCTGCGTGGATCGGCCCTCCGCCCAAGGCCCGCATCCCCGCTGCGGCCGCCGAGCCTCGCGTCGGCAGACCTGCGGCCAGCCCCCCGCCAGGCTCCACCGCCCTTCATCAGGACGCGGACGACGGCCCGGCTAACCCAGTGGGCTCCTCGGACGACGGCTCGGGGAACCCCTGCTTTTCTACCTCTGGCGGCAGGAATGGCCTGTGCAGCTCTGACGGCGTCAATTGGTACAGCAGTGATGATGACCCCTTGGCCGCTGAGGACGGGTCCGACGACGGCGGCGACTCCCGGCCTGATGCCACTATAACGCCCCTGGGAGAGCACAAGCCGCCTCCGCCCGGCGGCCCTGCAGTGGCACATGTCCAGAACGCCTTTCGCGCAGCCCAAGTACGATGTTTGGCGCGGGCAGGCACCTCCGCGTGAGTCATTCCAGCCGTCCGTCTCGCCTCCACCAGGTCACGGCCCACGCGACTCGGGCGTGGTCTTGCCTGCCCTTGGCCCCGGCGCCTCCCCGCCCCTTGCGCCCCAACCGCTCCTTGCTTTATTTTTCGGGGGCCATTGCCCACCCCTGGCGGCTTGCTCCGTGCGCCGTTCACCAATATTCTCACTTGGACTTTGGCGGTTAGCGCTCGCTCCCGCAACCGCCACTCTTTCACGTCGCCTGGGCTTCGGCGTTCCGCTTTCAGCGGGCGCCATTCCACCCTGCAGCCTTCGGCCCCTTTTTCCCCCTCTCAGGGTCGGGTCGGGTACCGCGGTGGGCATGCCCACCAGTGCCCAATGTTCCCCGTCTTGCTTGCTCGCCCAGCACGACGTGTCGCCGCCAAGCTGACGGTCCTCGTCGCTGCGGCGGGACTCTTTCTGGTCGCGCCCGCCATCCCTGAGTCGCCCGCCTGTCTGCTTCATTCCGTGCTGCAGGATGGACCTTTGTGATGATCACATCGGCTCCTTCGGTCTGCCAGTCCGCATCCCGCTGTCCACGCGCTCCCGCTCGTCTCCGCCCAGCTCGTCGGACGGCGCCTCCCCTATCTGGCCCCCGCAACCTCCTCGGCTCGATCACCAGAGTGGGCCCTCTGTGGTGATCGTCGAGGCGCTGATTCCTCCCGTCGTCCCACGCTCGCTCAGGTCGGCTCGGCGCGCCGTATCACTAGGGTGGGCGCTCTGTGCTGATCGCTCTGCCGGCTCGGGCGTCTGTCTCGCCCCTCGCTCGGGCTCTTGCGGCCCCTTCGCGTCCTTTTCGGCGCTGGCTGGCTCGCTGGCGCCGCCGGTCTGGCCGATCATTAGAGGCTCTTTCTGGTTTGATCGGCGAGCTGGCCGCCCGTCACCCCGACTGCCGCGTTCTGGTATTGCCGAGCAGGCTGGCGCGTCGTTCCTGCCCGCTTCGCCCCCTCGCTGCTCCGGTGGCCTGCTCCTCCGCCCGCTCTGCTATGCCCACCGCATTTTGGTTTTGTCGAGCGCGGTGGCCCGCCGCTCTCTTTTGCCGCCTGCCGCCGCCGCTCCCGTGGCCCGCTCCTCCGCCAGCCCTGCCGCGGCCTTCGCGCCGCCCCGCCTCCGTGCGACCCCCCCCGTGCCTTGGCCTCCGCGTCGGGCCCTTCCCGTCCGCCATTTGTGGCGGGCTCCCCTCCCCTCGCCTGCGCGTGGTGGGTTCCTTCCCCCGCGTCGTCTACGCGTCGGTCGCCTCGTTCCGCCGCCTCGCTGCTGCGCGTCCTGCGCCCAGCCCCCCCCGAGCCGATCTGCGGCCGCTGCCCCTTGCTGCGCGTTGTAGTATACAAAATGTGTTTTCGGGCCCTGGCCCTCTCGCCGCCCCACCCCCGTTCCCCTAGAGGTCGGGGGGGGGGGGGGGGGCGGTGGCGGCGCAGAGCAAGGTGGGGCCGTCCTAGAGATGGCGCGTTGCATTTGCGTTCTCCGCTCGAGTTCTCACGCTCGAGCATGCTCGAGGGGGGGCCCGGGACCGTGCTCGAGGTCTTCTTCGTCGGTTCCCCGCGGGGCAGTAGCGCGGGCCATTCGAGCTGCTCGATTGGCCCCTCGTGGGAGCTGATCGAGAGCGGCTCCTGCTTCGAGGGCGGGGCGCCCAAGCTGCGGGGCTGCGCTCTGGAGGGCGCCGGCGAGACAGCGCGTCTCGGTCGCGGCTCGCTCGGGCTGCTGCTGCGGTGGCTTTCCGCATTGGTGAGCGACCCGATCGCGGAGCAGGAGATCGGGGATCGAGGCCCAGATGCCCGCGGAGCCGTGGTCGCGCAGATTCTACCGCCAGACGGCGACCGACGGAGTCGAGGTGCAGCTGGCGAGGCGCAAGAGCGGCAACATTTGGGCGGCGCTCGCCCCAGACCTGGGTCTCGGGCTGGTCTGCGTCACCGCGAAGACGGCCATCTTCGCGGAGCCGGCGGCAGGCACTCGCCGGAGGCTCATGCCACCCTTGCAGCCTACCTCCAGCAGGCGACGGAGGGCTTGCGGGCGGGCGCGGCGTCGACGCTCCAACTCTACCGGCCTGGTCGCGCTGGCCAGCAGGCGGTCGCGGTGAACGTGCTGCGCGCTCTGTTCAGCTCAGGGTCGTCCTCTCTCAAGACTTTTAGATGGTCTTTGAAGAGTCCGAGGCGATTCCTGGGCGCGTTGGCCGCCCTGTTCGCGTTGCGCGAGGCGCTGGCACTGCTCGGGGTGAGCGAGCACCTGGAGGAGGCGAGGGTGGCGCTCGTGAGGTGGCTGGTCGCGGCGAAGGGCGCCTCCGTGATGCGCTCGGGCGCTGTGCAGGAGTGGTTGAGCTACCTTGTGGAGTGGAAGGAGTGGGCTCAGAAGCTCATGCCACTCCAGCGGTTGCTGGCCACGGTCGTCGCGGTGGTGCCCCTCGCGGGCTGGGCGGCGAAGGAGTGGTCCGACCGCGCGGGGCTGGGAGTGTCTTCGATCGGATCGTCGTCGGCCTCGAGCGTGGGCGTGTCCGTCGGTCACGCGTCGTCCACGCAGCCGCCTTTGCCGCCGCCCTTGCAGCCTCCCGGCGTGGACTCGTCGGCGTTGGCCGCCCATCTGCGCGACCTCGCGGAGTCCCAAAAGGTCATGATGGGGGAGATCAGAAAGTTGAGGGCGGCGGAGCGAACGAGGGAGCGGCGCCGAGGTGTGCCGGGGTCCTCTCTCGAGTCGAGGGATCGGTCTGCGGTCGAGGCCAACTGTCAGGCTATCGAGGGCGCGATCGCTCGTCTGGGCAAGTTCGAGGCTCGCCTGAAGAGGGGGGCTCCGGTCGGGGGGGGTGTCGGAGAGTGGGTTGCTGCCATCGAGGGGTCGGGTGCTGCGTCGTCGGGCGCGGCGACGTGGGGTTTGCCGACCAAGACGTTCGCGCCGATCTCTAAGGGGGCGCCGGAGAAGAGGGCGGCGCCCAGTACTCAGTACTCCAGAGGCGGCGGAGCTGGCCATCAATCGAATTCGGGTCAAGGCCCAGCTGCCGCAGCAGCAGGTGTTCATGTGGCAGCTGGAGGAGTAGCAGTAGGCCCCCGCCGAGGAGTGGGGCAGCCGCATGCCCGAGGGGCATCGGCAGCGGATCTCCGCGGAGGTGTTATCGGCGATCTACTCCTCTGGGAAGCCGGCGGAGAGCTGGGCTCGGGACTTCGTCCGGGATCGAGGGCTGATAGCGCGCAACGCGCCTCGAGGGATGATCGCGGCGTTCGCGGCCGTGGACGCGACGCTGATGATTGATCGCCAGACGGGGCTCATCGATCTGGGGAGCTTCGAGCGCCTGGTGCGGAAGGGGCGCGCCATCGTGCGAGCATGTCGCAACGTGAACTGCCGCGACGACTGGAGCCGCCCCAAGGACGCCAAGGGCTGGAAGTCGAAGGTGGACTGGGAGTCGGCTCGACGGCAGGACCCCCGGCTGGCCGACGAGAGCACGATTCGGGCGACGAGTGCCGAGGAGGAGGTGAGGAAACCACGGGCCGGGGCGCCCAGCTGCTGAAGGCGCGCGCCGACCTGGACGGTGGACCAAAGAGCTTCAATTGGGGTCGTTCAGCTTCGTGTAGGGTGGCCCTTGCAGTTGGCGCGGTGCTCGCGTCCTGCGACGGCGTCTTTTGCTGCCCCTACTATGTCTGCTGCACCTGACGGGTTTCATCTTCGTCGGCTGCCTCGTGAGCTATTGCGCGACGAAGTGGATTTTCCACGTCTCGGCGGCGCGACGCCCTGTCCGAGGTGGCGTTGTTCTCGCGCCCCCGGCGCCCGAGCTCTACGTCTCGTCGGGCGCTGTCGCGATGGAGGAAGTGGAGACCCTTGGGCGGGCCGACCGCCCTCTCCTGGCGCTGCGTGAACTCTACCGCGGGAGCTTGGACGATAGTCTCGTGGAGCTGGCCGAGTGCTGGGGACACAGGGGGCTATGCCCGACAACCTGGGCGGGGACCTCTCGGCGCGGGCTTGGGGGGGTTCGTCGCCGGGAACCGCCGTCGACGACGCCCAGTCAAGGAGCCGCGATCCCGCGGCTGCGCCCGGCCGAGTTAGTCCCAGTCGACCTGCAAGCAAAGGCTGGCCAATCTTCGGAGGAGGGGCGCCGGCAGGAGTGTGCGGCTGCCAGACAGGGGCGAGGCGTTCCCCGCCCAGTGGGATCGGGTCGCTCCACTTCCCCCGGGGGGCCGGACCTGCGAGCGCGAGGTCTGCGCCGTCTCGGGCGGCGCAGAAGTCGGAGACGCTTCGGGGGGAGATGTTGAAGGGGGATGGCGACGCCTGCGCGCTGGCTTCCGAGGTGCGCAACTACGTGGACCCTCACTTTCGAAATAAGAATGGGGTGCTGCAGCTATCGCGAAGGATGGCCCTGGCGGGGATGCTGTGTCGCGCGCCCGAGAAGGTAGACGAGGTCGGGCTGTTCTGCGTAGTGAAGAAGGCCGAGCTGATCGACGAGGAGCCTGAAGGGACGCTCCGCCTGGCGTTCGACCAGCGGCGCTCCGACGCGCGGTGGCGGGCTCCACCATGGTGTGCGATGGGCGCGGTGAGTGCGACGTCGTTCCTGGATGTGTCCCAGGAGGTGAAGGAGGGCGGGGCGGCCATGCGCTTTGGCAAGGGCGACCTGCCCTGCTTCGTGCTGCCCGGCGTTTCGGGGGACGGGCTGGGCGCGGTCCCGCCCGACGACTTGCAGCTGCCTGGGAACGGCGCCTGCGCCTGGGCGAAGGTGGCGCTCGCGGGTTTCTCGCGGGCGTGCCGGGTGCCCCAGACGACGACGGGGCGCCTTCAATGCGGGGCCGCAGGCTGGATTGCCGTCGCTGTCGGAAGGTCAGCGTCTCACCGGAGGCGGGCCGCTGCCCCAGCTCAGCGGGGGGGCGCCAGCGGCTCACTACGAGCGCATCGAAGACTTCGGTATCATCGGGCTGCACTACCCTGCGCTTCCGGGCCAGAAGGAGGTCGCGACGGTGGAGGAGATCTGGCTGGTGGCCAAGGAATTGGTGATGGCTGCGGGCTTCAAGGTGCACAGGGGCGCGCGCTCCTCGGCAGCTCGCATGATCGGGGGCGACTTCGAGGGTGCGCGGTTGGCCCTGGACCAGGACAAGAAGATGTGGCTCGCCGTCCTCGGCACCCAAGAGACCCTGACCAGCAAGTGGGAGCTGCCCGACTCGATCGCACGGATCGCGGGCATCGTGTCCCGGGGGTTATTGATCTGCTGAAGGGGCGCTGAGTATCTTCTCGGAGGTCTACTCGTGGTGCATGGAGTTTCGCGGTGGGCCCAGGCGCGAGACACCGCGAGAGGTGCTGAGAGAGTTGGCAGCAGCGGCGGCCATCGCCCCCTCGATCGCGGTCGACCTGGCGACGCCCTGGAACCCCACCACGATGATGCTCGATGCCAGTCTGCACGGAGGGACCATCATTGCCACCTCGAGTACGGTGGAGGAGCAGCGTCGAGAAGCTCGGTGCGCTGTGCGAGGCGGCTGGGCCGCGTGGACTGGAATTTCCCCCTCGTGGGTTGCGGGCACCTGGTGCGAGGGCGAGGCTTTCGAGCGCGCGGGTGACGACGTGGAGTTGGGCGCGCGCGTTCGAGCACCGCCTGTGCACGAGTGCTGGAGCGACATCATCCGATGGAGGGAGGTGCTGCGCTGGCGCTAGGAGAAGAAGGAGCGCATCAATATGCTGGAGATGCGCGCCGGGTTTGCAGCAGCGAGGCATTCAGCTCGCAGTCGGGCAGGCTGGGGGAAGAGGCACCTGCGGATCACGGTCTCGATGGTCTGCCTCGGCGGCTTCAGCAAGGGCAGGTCCGCCAGTCGTCCTATCCTGATCCTCTGCCGCAGGATGGCGGCCCTCAGCCCCGGCTGCGGCATGCGCGAGTACTAACTCCAAGTGCCTTCAGATCGCAGCCGCAGCGATGGGCCGAGCGTGGGCTGTTCTATCGGCCAGGCCCCGGAGGGGCGGAGGACTGGCGAGCCAGTTCTGCCGGGGCATTTTGCGTTGAAGATCGAGGCGCTGGCCGACGTTGCGGAGTTGGACCCATTCCAGCCGCTCAGGATGGGGGTCTCGGCCCCTGTGAGGGAGCTGCGCTTCGCCCACCTTTGCAGCGGACGCGCGCGGGCGGGGGTCTTGGAGGACTGGCTGCTCAGGGTCGCCGCGTCGCGGGGCCGCCTGCTGCTCTGCGCCAGCGCAGACATCGGGTTCGGGGCGGAGTTCGACCTAACGGACGAGGTCAACGTGAGGGGGCTGGTGCTGCTGGCGGAGATGGAGACCGACGGCGGGCATTCGGGCCCCTCTTGTTCTACGTGGTCGCGGGCGCGATTCCAGCCTGGAGGCCCCCCGCCGCTTCGCCTGCGGCGTCAGCCCTGTGGTCGACCGGGCCCGCGGGGGGACGATGCGAAGAGGGTAGAGCTGGGGGGCGAGCAGCTGCTGAGCAGCCTGAGGATCCTGAAGCCCATTGCCCTCAAGGGCGCCCCCATATCGGTCGAGTACCCCGCCGAGCTTGGATGTCCGCCTTTTCCGTCGATCTGTGTCACGAAGGAGCTTATGGGCTGGGGGGCCGTGGTTGGAGCCTATCGGGTGACCTTTTCGCGGTGCATGCGGGGCTGCCCTGCGCTCAAGATGGCGGCGCCCACGGGGGCGGCCTGTGCGATGCAGCGGTTCGAGCAGCCCTGCGAGCACTCGCCGCGCGGCGCGAGCCTCTGTGGCAAGGGTGCGAGCGGCCAGTTCCGTACGAGAGTGTCGCGGGCCTACCCGTCGGAGTTCTGCCGCGTGCTGGCGGAGCGCCGCGCGGGCGCGGCGCTGGCCGCGCAGGAGAGATTGGGGGCCGACCTGACCGAGAGGGCGCTGGGGCAGCTGATCTCGGAGACCTTGGAGCGCGGGCGCCGGGGCTTGTCCTCGCTGGAGGCGCTGCCGACGCCGCCCCTCGAAGCTGCAGGGTGGTCGAGCCAGTTTCCCCTCGGGCCGCGAGGCCGGCTGCGTCGGGAGGACCTTGTCGCTGCGCTGCGTGCGCGGTCTGGCGGATGCAACGCAGGCGGGCGCGGCCGCAGAGGAGAGACATCGGCACCGCGCTCAGCGCCGCAAGATGGGCAACGCGCACCGCGGGAACGAGTCGGAGCGCGTTCACTCCCTGGGGTTGTCGCGGCCGAAGAGGCCGACTCGGGGACTCGCCCTGCTCCCGTTCTCGGCTTGTGCCAAGACGGCGCTGGGTTGCTACGCGCCCTATGCGCGGCGTTTCCTGGACTTTGCCCTGGAGTGGGACCTGCCGATGATGAGCCGCGAGGAGATTGACGACTCGGTCTTCTGTTACCTGGGCCGCTTGGCGGAGGACGAGGAGGTGGGCCCGCATCGGGGCGACTTCGCGGCGCATGAGCTCGCCAACGTGTGGCAAGAGCTGTCTTCAGGACTGCCCAGGTCGAATCGTGCTCTGCGCGCCTGGCATCGATTGCACGCGGCAGGAGAAGCCGGGCCCCCACCGCTCGAGTGGCGGGCCGTGCTGGGCGAGGCCACGAGGTTGTCCGGGGACCAGGAGGCCGCCGATGCCCCCGAGGTCGCTCTTGACGCCTACCTCAGGTCCGCGGAGTTGTTCGGCTTGCGAGCTGCCGACGTCGTCATCGACGTCGACTCGGCGGGTGAGCAGGCCGCGGCCCTTCGGCTCGGAGTGCCCGAGCGCGGCGAGCGGGCCAAGACGGGCACGAGGCAGGGCGAGCTGATCGACCGCGCGCACGTGGCCGACATGCTCGTGCGGAGGAAGGCCGAGAGCTAGAGGGCGCCGCCAGACGGGGTCTCCGCCTGCTCGGTGGGCGCCTACCGCCGCGCCCTGAGGCGGGCCGGCGACGACGCGGGCGCCAAGCGCTTCCCGCCGCGCGCCGCCAGGCACTCGGGGCCGAGCCGCGACGCGGCGACCGGCTGCAGGGCGGCGCGGGCCATTCAGCGACGCGGGCGATGGGCGAGCGAGAAGAGCGCGCTCAGGTGCATGAAGGCGCGCGCTCTGGTGGCAGCTCGCGCCGCGCTACCGCCCGACCCGATCGAGCGGGGCGCCAGATTGATGGAGAAGAAGGGCGCCTGCCCGATGAAGGCCGGAGAGCGAGTGTGAGTTCGCTTGATCGATACCGGCAGTTTCGACGTGCCGCGAGAGCTTCGGCCAGCTATTGCGAATTGTTTCCTTGCCTTGCGTGAGAACGTGATCCCAAAGGCGGCGTCTGGAGGCGCCGCAGGGCCCTCCCTAGCCTGAGTGCATCCGACAGCCAGGCGCTTTAGCCAGTCAAGCGGTGGGGTGGGGCAGAGATTGGCTGCCTAGCATATTGTGCGATTTGGCCGCCAGGGTCGCAATTTGCCACCGCTCTTGGTAGCTTCAGGTTCACGTGTAGGGTGGCAAAGGTTGTGTGCAGTGGCTGGCGCCACCTCTCCGCCGCCCCTCGTCCTGGTGAGAGTCGGACCTTGAGCCTCCAAGCCGGTCGCCCCGCGGCCGCTGACGCCGCCGCCCTTTGAGATCCCGGCCGCTTCCCGGACCGACTGGCGCGCAGGCGCCCATGAGACGTTTTTGACGATGCGGCGATGCGCCTGCCTGCCGACGACCGAAACATGTGCGTGGGTGCCTATGTAACGATGGCCTTCCTTGTTGCCCCCAACCCTGGTCTTTATTTATTTAAAACATGTATTATTATTATTCTCCTTCTCCGCCCGCCACTAGGCTAGGCTTGGCATGTCAGTGGCTCCTTATGCAGCTGTCCGCTCGACCGCCTGGCGCCACTCAGCGGTGGCCCCGCGCTTCTCCTCTTCCTTTTCCGCCCCGCCTTCTCTTAGCTCCTCGGTCGTGCATGCCGTTTGCGTTTCGCATCTCACCCGCGCCTGCTGGCTCTTGCACCGACTGGCGCTTCTGCCCTGGGGCCGCCTACGCGTAGTCTTGAGGGGGTCAGATCCGTTTCGCCGCCTTCCAAGGGGGCCAACCTTCTTTGGGGGCTTCCTCGCCTCACCGTCAAACCACAAGCGCCGTGCTCTCCTGGGCGCTCACCCGCGCACGCGTTCGCCCCCCGAGCTTCTCGCCTCTGCTTCCGCCCAGCAGAAAGAGCACGGGGCACAATCGAATGGGGGCGCCAGCGCGGCAACGGCCAATTTCTGCAGACAGGGCCCCGCAGGGCATCAACACCGGGAACCAGCGCATAGGACGCCAGCGCGACGACGTCCGATTGCGGCAGGCAGGGCTGGCCCCCCACTGCGCAGGTGAATACAAGTGACGCCCAATATGTGCAGAACGTGCGCGGATCTTTCGTGTGCGGGGTACTCTCTATTCAACTGACCTCAACCTCGTCGAGACCCCCTACTTGGAAGCGTTCGCCGAAGGCTACGACAGAGACCATTTCGATGGGTGGTGCTCGATGGCGCGCGATGACAGTCGCGCCAGCGCGGCAGTCCTTATGAAAAACACACGGCTCTCTAGGTCCCCCATGCACCCATGTGGGGGGCTACGAGCCCCCCCTGTCCGCGTGATTCCCGCCGCCGCGCGGCCCCGCTCCTCGGGCCCCATGGGGGCTCTGCCCTCCGCCTCCTTGTCCGACACCAGGGGCAGTCAAGCGGCGTCGTCCGCTCCTGGCTCTGCTCACGCCCCCACTTCAACGGCACCGTAACGGGTACTTACTAACGGGTACTTTGACTTTTTGCCGAAAGTTGCCACTTTGGGTCCTTTTTCTTGCATTGCAGCTTTGCCCTCATCGGGAAGGGCTGGGTTCGCTGGGTCACTGGCCAAAATACCCGTTAGCGGAGTCCCCGCTTGAGGGGCGCTGACCACTCCCGCGGGAAACATCGGCGCACTTCAGCGCTTCGCCTCCTCCGCGCCCGCCCCCCTGATTCCACGCCAGACGAAGCCGTCCATTGGCCAGGGCGGGCGCGAAGTCGGCCCCGCGCGCCCATCGGCGACCCCCCCCCGAGCTCGGACGCATCTCCAGTTTCCCACAGCCGCCCGGCGATCGACACTTCGGGGCCCCCCCCCTGGCGGTTCTGCTGGCGTGTCCCCTAGACCCGCTGTCGTCGGAGCTCCGAGGGCTCTGCCCACTGGCTGGCGCCCGTCGCGCCCGCCAGATCGCGGTCGGCAGGTCCGCCCTGACCGTCGTCATCCCGGCGCAGGCCTGGGGCCCGCGCCTCGCGCCCCCCCCCCCGCCGCTTGCCCCATCTGCGCGCCCGCCTGCAGTGTGTCCCTCGCCGCTTGTTTCGTCCTGCCCGCTCCCCCTTCCAGGGCAGGCGCTGCCTCTAGCCGCCCCCCGCCCGCCGTGGCGCCCCCCGGCAGTAGTGGCGCTGCCGGTGGAGCTCGGGCGCCCTCACGACTAGGAATGCTGAAGCGCGACAAGGCACGGCTTATTCACGACAAGCAACAAGCAACTTCGCCACCCACTTTCGCCGCCCACTTTCGCCGCCCACTGTCGCCACCCACTTTCGCCGCCCACGTTCGCCGCCCACTTGCGCCGCCCACTTGCGCCGCCCACTTTCGCCGCCCACTTTGGCCGCCCACTTTCGCCGCCCAATGTCGCCGCCCACTTTCGCCGCCCGCTTTCGCCGCGCGCCCCGCTTTCGCCGCCCACTTTCGCCGCCAGCTTTCGCCGCCCACTTTGCGCGCCCACTTTCGCCGCCTACTGTCGCCGCCCACTTTCGCCGCCCACTTTCGCCGCCCACTTTCGCCGCCCGCTGTCGCCGCCGCCCACTTTCGCCGCCGCCCACTTTCGCCGTTCACTTTCTTTCGCCGCCCGCTTTCTTTCGCCGCCCACTCAGTGGGCGGCGAAAGTGGGCGGCGGGCGGCGAAAGTGAGCGGCGGAAAAAGTGGGCGGCGGAAAAAGTGGGCGGCGAAAGTGGGCGGCGAAAAAGGGCGGCGAAAGTGGGCGGCAAAAGTGGGCGCAAAAGTGGGCGGCGGCGAAAAGTCGGGCGGCGAAAGTGGGCTGCGAAGGTGGGCGGCGAAAGTGGGCGGCGAAAGTGGGCGGCGAAAGTGGGTGGCGAAAGCGGGTGGCGAAAGTGGCGGCGAAAGTGGGCGGCGAAAGTGGGCGGCGCAAGTGGGCGGCGACATGGGCGGCGACAGTGGGCGGCGAAAGTGGGCGGCGAAAGTGGGCGGCGAACGTGGGCGGCGAACGTGCGGCGAAAGTCAGTGGGCGCCGAAGTGGGCGGCGAAAGTGGGCGGCGAAAGTGGGCGGCGAAAGTGGGCGGCGAAAGTGGGCGGCGAAAGTGGGCGGCGAAAGTGGGCGGCGAAAGTGGGCGGCGAAGTGGGCGGCGAAAGTGGGCGGCGAAAGTGGGCGGCGAAAGTGGGCGGCGAAAGTGGGCGGCGAAAGTGCGAAAAGTGGGCGGCGAAAGTGGGCGGCGAAGCGAAAGTGGGCGGCGAAAGTGGCGGAAAGTGGGGCGAAAGTGGGCGGCGAAAGTGGGTGGCGAAAGTGGGCGGCGAAAGTGGGCGGCGAACGTGGGCGGCGAACGTGGGCGGCGAAAGTGGGCGGCGAAAGTGGGCGGCGAAAGTGGGCGGCGAAAGTGGGCGGCGAAAGTGGGCGGCGAAAGTGGGTGGCGAAAGTGGGCGGCGAAAGTGGGCGGCGAAAGTGGGCGGCGAACGTGGGTGGCGAACGTGGGTGGCGAAAGTGGGTGGGCGGCGAAAGTGGGCGGCGAAAGTGGGCGGCGAAAGTGGGCGGCGAACGTGGGTGGCGAACGTGGGCGGCGAAAGTGGGTGGCGAAAGTGGGCGGCGAAAGTGGGCGGCGAAAGTGGGCGGCGAAAGTGGGGCGAAAGTGGGCGGCGAAAGTGGGTGGCGAACGTGGGCGGCGAAAGTGGGTGGCGAAAGTGGGCGGCGAAAGTGGGCGGCGAAAGTGGGCGGCGAAAGTGGGCGGCGAAAGTGGGCGGCGAAAGTGGGCGGCGAAAGTGGGCGGCGAAAGTGCGGCAGTGGGCGGCGAAAGTGGGCGGCGAAAGTGGGCGGCGAAAGTGGGCGGCGAAAGTGGGCGGCGAAAGTGGGCGGCGAAAAAAGTGGGCGGCGACAGTGGGCGGCGAACGCGGGCGGCGAAAGTGGGCGGCGAAAAGTGGGCGGCGAAAGTGGGCGGCGAAAGTGGGCGGCGAAAGTGGCGAAAGTGGCGGCGAAAGTGGGCGGCGAAAGTGGGCGGCGAAAGTGGGTGGCGGAAGTGAGCGGCGCAAGTGGGCGGCGAAAGTGGGCGGCGAAAGTGGGCGGCGAAAGTGGGCGGCGAACGTTGGTGGCGAACGTGGGCGGCGAAAGTGGGCAGCGAAAGTGGGCGGCGCAAGTGGGCGGCGAAAGTGGGCGGCGAAACAGGGCGGCGAAAGCGGGCGGCGGAAGTGGGCGGCGAAAGTGGGCGGCGAAAGTGGGCGGCGAAAGTGGGTGGCGAAAGTGGGCGGCGAAAGTGGGTGGCGAACGTGGGCGGCGAAAGTGGGTGGCGAACGTGGGTTTGCTTGTCGTGAATATGTCTTTTCCTTGTCGTGAAGCTGCTTGTCGCGTCACCACCCTGGCCATGCTGCTGGTTTCACCGGCCGCGCGGCTCGGCCCTGACCTCCATGGGCCTACCTCTGGCCCCTCCGCCAGCGACGACGACGCACAGGTATTTCGCCTTTTGCCGAACCAGATCTCTCTGCAGCGCCAGGGCAGCAGCCTTTCAGATCGCCTGATTGGCGTGGGCTGGAGGTTGTGGACGATCGCCCGTCCCAGGCATGATCCACGCATCCCCGCAACCGATCTGCGCTCGCCCTTCGTCCATTCGCTCACGGAGCTTGAACGGTTCCAGGAATGCCTCGCGGCCTCGGCCCACGCGGAGGGGTTTCCCGCCGACGCTGCCCCTGCCCTCCGTGTTCCCCCCACCGATGGCGATGCTGCCCCCAAGGATGGGCCCTGCCTCTCGAGTGCCTGCGGAGCAACTCCCACGGCGGCGTCTTTAGCCCTGTTGGGCCTGTCGTATTACCCGCGTCATGGGGCATGCAACCTGCCTCTCCTCCGGCGCTTGTCCCCCCTCACCCTCATGGTCCTATGGGCCCCCTTGTGTTGGACACCGGCGGCCCCGTTGCGGCGTGGTTTCCCTCCCGCAGCTCCCATTCGTGCGTTGAGGAGGTGATGAACGGACTGGCCATCTTTCCAGGGTACTGCGCCCCGCTCGTGCCTTAGTTCCGGGTTGTTTCCCCGCGCTCGACCAGCGTACTTTAGGCAGGCACCCCGGTGCGCTCGTACTGCCCTCATGGGCTCCTGGTATGTCCCCGCTTTCCTCTGCTCCCCCATTCCGTAGTCAGCCACGTCTGGCGCGTGCCCTCGGCTGGGCAGTTCGTCCGAGGTCCCCGCTTGCGAGTCCCGTCGGTTCTCTCTGGCCTGTCCTCCCGTCCGCCGTCGTTTTCGGCGCTCCAGCGGGCTCGCCGGCGCTGCAACCTCGTCGTTGCGGCCTTTTGCGGTGTCCCTGCCGCCACTGCTGGCCTTCGGCCCTCTGGATCCTTGTCGTGCCATTCTGCCAGCTTTCTGGCCATGGCATCGCTGTAGCTTCGAATTTCGCCTAGCGTCCTTTCCCGTCCACCGCTCGTCCCGCTCCTGCCCGTCACCTAGCCTGGTCGGTTTCCGTTCGTGTGTCCCCCCTCGTCTGACCCCCTATCATCCACGCTTGGGTGTTTTATTATGACCAGCTGCCAGCGCTGCTTGGCTCCAAGCGGCTTAAGGGCTCGGCCGTCTAGTCGCGCATGCGCCGCGTGCGTGCCCGCTTCTCGGACCTTTCTGCGCACTGTTGCTGCGCGCGGGGCCGCGACGCCCAACAGTGTGTGTGTGTGTGTGTGTGTGTGTGTTGTGTGTGTGGTGTGTGTGTGTGTGTGTGTGTTTGTGTGTGTGTGTGGAACCCCGTGCGTGGAGCACTGTGTGTGTGTGGAACCCTGAGTGTGGAGCGTAATAGAGTGTGAAGGAGGAAGGGGAAGGAGAAGAGCTAGCAGGGGGGGATGCGCAAGGACGCGTGTCAGCCCAATGTGTGCTCACCCCGTTCGGCTCCATCGATAGCACGCAGCCTGTGCTGGCCCTCATCAGATTGCCTGCGTCGTGTTGAAGAGCTTCAGTGGACAGTCGCACGGTGGTGCTAACGCACGTTCTGAGGATCGTCGATCTGAGGGGGGATTTCGGTAGTCTTCCCATTTGCAACGTCAGGTGGTATTGGCGCTAAGCGTGCCTCGCCTCAGCTCTTTTTGCAGTGCCGTCACTCGACCGCTGGATTGGAAAATGTGGCGGTGGCCCTACTGAGTGTGGAACCTGATAGAGCATGGAGGAGGATAAGGCGGGGAGGAGGACGACGTCGAGGGCGGGCATCAGACAGGGAGGTCAGCAGGGGTCATTCCGACTCCGCGTGCCCGATTCGATTCGATTTCCCATGTTGCCACCGATTCGATGTGGAGATTCCGATTCGCGATTCCGAGTTCGGAAAGAGCGCGTTCTGTGGTCGCTTGGGGGGTGGGGGGGTTTATAGCCGGAACCCCCCCTGGATGGAGGGGGTGGAGGTTCGATCCCCCCCCTCCCCCCTCCCGTGACGGAGGGGGGGGGCTTCGAATCCCCCCCCTCCCTTCCTCCCCTGCTTCCCTTCTCCTCGGGCCCGCGCTTGCGTCGGCGGCGGCTGGCGGCGGCTGCGGGGACGACGATTTCCTTTTCTGGGCCGGCGCCGGCGCCTGCGGCGGCGGGCGGCGGCGGCGGGGAGCGTCGACGACGACGACGGTGGTGGTGGTGGTTGGTTGGTGGTTTGTTGTGGTGGTGGTGGTGGTGGTGGTTGATGTGGTGGGTGGTGGTGGTGGTGGTGGTGGTGGTGGTGGTGGTGGTGGTGGTGGTGGTGGTGTGTGGTGGTGGTGGTTTGGTGGTTGGTGTGGTGGTGTTTGTGGTGGTGGTGGTGGTGTTGGTGAGTTTGGTGGTGGCGATGGAGGTAGTGGTGGTGGTGGCGGCGGTGGTGGTGGTGGTGGTGTGGTGGTTTTTGGTGGTGGCTGTGGGTCGCGCTGCTTGTAGTGGTGGTGGTTGTGGCGGTGGTGGTGGTGCTGGTGTGGTAATTAGATACTGGTGGTGGTGGTGGTACTGGTGGTGGGTTTTTGTGGTGGTGGTGGTGATGGTGAGTTGTGGTTGTGGTGTTTGTTGTGGTTTGGTGGTGGTTTGTGGAGGTGGTGGTGGTGGTGTTGGTGGTGGCGGTGGCTTGTGGACGTGGTGCTTGTGGTGGTGGTGGTGGTGGCGGTGGTGGTGGTTTTGGTGGTGGTGGTTTGTGGTGGTGGCGGTGGGTTGTGCTGCTAGCAGTGGTAGTGGTTATGGCGGTGTTGGTGTTGGTGTGGTAGATTGTGGTGGTGGTGGTGGTGGTGGTTGTGGTGGTGGGTTTTTGTGGTGGTGGTGGTGGTGGTGAATGTGAGTTGTGGTGGTGGTTGTGGTGGTGGTGTGGTGGTTTGTTGTGGTGGTGGTGGTGGTTGATGTGGTGGGTGGTGGTTGTGGTGGTGGTTTGGTGGTTGGTGGTGGTGGTGGTTTGTGGTGGTGGTGGTGTTGGTGAGTTGTGGTGGTGGCGATGGAGGTGGTGGTGGTGGTGGCGGCGGTGGTGGTGGTGGTGGTGGTGTGTGTTTGTGGTGTGTTGATGGTTGTGCTGCTAGTAGTGGTGGTGGTTGTGGAGGTGGTGGTGATGCTGGTGTGGTAATTGGATTGTGGTGGTGGTGGTGGTGGTGGTACTGGTGGTGGGTTTTTGTGGTGGTGGTGGTGGTGATGGTGAGTTGTGGTTGTGGTGTTTATGGTGGTTTGGTGGTGGTCTGTGGAGGTGGTGGTGGCGGTGGTTTGGTGGTGGCGGTGGCTTGTGGACGTGGTGCTTGTGGTGGTGGTGGTGGTGGTGGTGGCGGTGGTGGTGGTGGTGTGGTGGTTTGTGGTGGTGGCGGTGGGTTGTGCTACTAGCAGTGGTGGTGGTTGTGGAGGTGTTGGTGTTGGTGTGGTAGATTGTGATGGTGGTGGTTGTGGTGGTGGGTTTTTCTGGTGGTGGTGTTGGTGATTGTGAGTTGTGGTGGTGGTTGTGGTGGTGGTGGTCGCTGTGGTGGTGGTGGTGGTGGTTGTGTGGTGAGTTGGTGGTGGTTGTGGTGGATTGAGGCGGTGGTGGTGGTGGTAGTGGTGGCGGTGATGGTAGTGGTGGTAATCGTCGCTGCGTCCCCGCCGTCGCCGGCGCCAACGCCGGCGCTGCTGGTCGCCGCCAGCGCCAGCCCCTGCGCCAGGGGGGGGGGGTTTGAACCCCCCCCTCCTGGCGTCCGGGAGAAGGGGGGGCGTTTGAACCCCTCCCATTTGAAGCCCCCCCCATGGGGTGTCTCTGGTCATCGTCGCTGCGTCCCCGCCGTCGGCGCTGCTGGCGGCCGCCAGCGACAAGGGGGGGTGGGTTCGGGAGGGGGGAGGGCTTGGGGGGGAGAGGAGTCCTCCTGGTTTTCATTGACGGCGCCGAGTGTTGGGGGGGGCCCACCCAACGGTTCGAAACGCGCCGCCGAATGTTCGCAAGGCCAACGCCCGTGAAACGCGTTCCCTCCGAGTTCCAGGTCGCCCGACCCGACTGCTGCCGATTCAGTGTGTCAGCCGATGTTTGAAGATTCTATGCCCCCTTCCTGGAAGGGGGCCGCGGCGGTCGGGGCATAGTCTCGTTGCGCCTCTGATCGGTGCTCGTACGCCGCCCGCAGGGTATACGAGTCATACAGGCGCTCGTGGGCGGCGTGCCGGGGAAACACAAGGTCCATGCACGCCTCCGCCTGTGCGCCTCGACTGGCACGCGTCGTTGTGGCTTCGTTTCGAAGAGCAGAAGCACATTTTGGTCTAAGCAGCGGGCGCGCCATGCTGGAGTGTCCTCCAGTAGGCGTCGAAGAGTCACAAGTTGCACGGACCTACACTTTGGTTGCTCCGCGCGGATTTCTTGGATCGGCGCTGGGTTCCCCTGGCGGCGCCTCCAGCGACGCTCCTGGCGCGTTCCGCGCGTGCCGAGTCAAGAATTCTGCGCGGAACTCCGACACATGTTTGTATCTGCAGTTGTTTCTTCTTCTAGGGTTCATTGATCAGACGAGGACGACGCCGTCGTTGGCGACAGCACCCTCCTCCACCCGTCCCGTCTCTCTGATCCGCGAGCGCGGGCGGCGACCGTATCGGACGGGAGGTCGTTCGACATTGCGCAGTCGTGGGCGGACCTCATTCTCGAGGACGCCTTGCCTTTGATCAGTGCAGCCCAGTGCCGACTAGAATGCAAGTTTTTTTTGCAAGTGTAATGCGTACCGAGGCGTTTCCAGGCTTCCCACCGGTACTGTTCGCACTCTGGCCTGCTCCATCTTACACCGTCGTTCCCTGCCTGGGCCGCCTCGGTTTCCGCACGACCTGTGCGTGCCTCTTCCGCATCTGCACATCTTCCCTCTAATCTGGTGGCGCTGGCACGCGCATCTGCCACCATTCTGTGGGGGGGCGACCCGTAAAGCGCTCCACCCGTAATCGTCATTGTTCTTGGCTCCGTTTTTCGCGAGGGCGAGGCGCGCAGACACTTGGGGCAACACGCGGGCAAATGCCGGGCCCCAAGCGTTGGCGCCTCCGTTGCAGAAGGCGAACGTAGCCAAAGACGCAAAGGTGGCCCTACTACGCACGCGACCGGCCTGGGTTGGAGAGGCGCCCTTGTCCACGGCGGCGGCGCGAGGGTGCGAAGATAACTGCGCATCGCGGTGCGCGATGCGCGAACTTAGGTGGCCTAGTATGCGACGTCCACAACCAGCGGGCGGAAGCTGTGCCACCCGCAGGGGCGCATTGATGCAGTCGCGCCTCGAGCGCCGTGGTCTGGGCCGTGAGGAGCTGACTCCCTCCACGGGGTCGCCGCGGGGGCGCGAAGATTAACGCGCGTCGCGCATCGCGGGGCGCGGTACGCGATGTTAGGCGACGTAACGTACGACCTCCACAGCCAGGGGGCGGAGACCGTGTCACCCGCAGGGCCGCGAATGCGGTCGCGCCTCGCTCTTCGGGGCCTGGGCATGGAGAGATTTCCCTCTCCATCCAAGGGGGGGGCGCCGCGAGAGCGCGCCCCGCGCCGCCTGCAAGGCGCGGGGAAGCGCGAGGCTGGGCCATCTGGGCTGCTCGCCGCCTCGAGCCTGGAAAACGCACTCGATTTCGCCAATCAGGGGGCAGATCTTCGGTTCGGTTCACAAAGTGGTGGGAACAAAGGTCCGTGCACCTGCCCCGCACAGTCACAACCTGCGGGAATGCCCCACGCTCTTGTGGGGGGATGCCTCTCGACAAGAAGCAGGGTTGCCATACTTGCTGTAGAGACCCAGGCATCCGACGTGGTGATTTTGTCACAGCCTGGCCCCCCGGAGGTTGGATTCCCTCCCCGGGACTGCTTTTTTCCCCACCCGACAGGTTGGGGCTGTTAGACATGGGCCGGCACGGAAACGGAAAGAGCGCCTCAAAAAAACGGACCGCAATTACTCACACCACCGTTCGTACTGGGAGCCTTGGCGTTGAGAGCTTGTTACGTCACCCCGCGCTCTTGGGAGCCTTGGTGTTCAGAGATTGTTGCGTTGCCGCCCGTTCCTGAGCCTTGGCTGGGCCTTGGTGTCAGGAACTTGTTACGTCATCGCTCCCTGCTGGGAGCCTTGGTCTTATCAGCTTGTTTACGTCACCGTTCGCTCTTGGGAGCCTTGGTGTGAAGAGCATTTTGCGTTACCGATCGCTCTTTATTTGGCTTCTCTGAGCCTTCTTGGGAGTCCTATTGCGGCCCTTTTTGAGCCCCTTTGGGGGCCTCTTGGGGGCCTCTTGGGGCTTCTTGGGGGTCTGTGGGGGCCTGCTGGGAGCGTCTTGGGGCGAAAGGCTAGACTTTCGGGTTCGTGGTCCCCCTTCTAGGGCCGTCTTGGGGCCCTCTTGGGCCGTCTCTTGGGCCGTCTTGGCGCCCTCTTGGGCTGTTTTGGGGGCCTCCTGGGAGCCTCTGGGGCCGTCTTGGGGCGGTCTTGGGGGCCTCTTGGACCGTCTTCAACGCCACGGAAGCCGAAAAGCCGTGTATGCTAAAAAGGTACGCTTTCCCATAGGAAATGAATGATTTTGGCCTCCTGAAATAACCTCATGGACAGAACCCAAAATAGGGCCATTAGACCCCCCGTCCGGGTCCGCACCCCCCCTGGACCCCCCCTAAGAAGGGCTTCGCCCCCTGCTCAACGTCACTCGCTCGTACCTCGCTCTTTCCGTCACCTGCTTAGCATGGGGACGGAAAGCGCATTTACTTTCAGAGCGCGAGATGTCGCTGGCTTGCCCGTTCTTTCTCTCTGTCTCCCCGTCTGGAGGCTCTCTTAGGGCATCTTGATGGCATATAGGGCTCCCTCTAGGGCTATCTCGAAGCTGCAGGAGGCCTCTTGAGGGGGAACCAGGGCGTGTTGGTACCTTGGGAAGGCACTAGGGCGCGATAAAACACGAATGAAGATTAGGATTGTACTGTTGATGATGATGACGACGACATACTGTCGCTTGGGAGCATTCTGGGCGTCTCCCAGGCCCTCCTTGGGCCGTCTTGTGGCTCTCGTAGGCCTTCTTGGGGCCCTTCTGGGTCGTCCTCTTGCTCTCTTGGGAGCCTCTCGGGCCGTCATGGCACAATCTCGGGGGACTGGAGCTGTATCGGGCCGTTCTTGCCCGAAAAGGCGAGGAGCTGGAAACCTCCATAAACCTAAAAGCAACAATAGTTTATTCGTCCTTCAGCACTTTCGGGGGTCCTCTCGGGTGCCGCTTGGGGTGCCTTGGAGGCCTCTTGGGCTGCGCTGAGGCCATCTTGGGCTATCTTGGATCGCTCTTGGGCCGTCTTCGGTCCCGTCTGGGCCTCTCTCACGCCGTCTTGGAGGTGCCTTAAGCTGGCGAGGAGCTTCTGCATGCAGGTAGGGCGGGGCCAAGGGCGCCCCCCCGGGCGGCGAAAGCCCTACTTTCGTTTTTTGTTTCCCGCTTATACCGCCCACCGGTGCTCGGGGGGGGGTCTTGGAGACCTCTTGAGCCGTATTGAGGCCGTCGTGGGCTATTTGGATCGCTTTTGGGCCGTCCTCGGGCCCGTCTGGGCCTCTCTACGCCGTCTTGGAGGCCGTTGAAGCCGTCTGCATACGTGCAGATGTTCGAACATGTCTTGGAGCCGTCTTAGGGGGTATCTTGGGCCATCTTGGGGCGATCTTACGGGCCTCTGGCCTCTTGGGTCGTCCTGGAGGTATCTTGGACCGTCTTGGAGGACGCGGTGTCTCTCATGGGCTGTCTTGAAGCTACCTCAAGTTGACGAGGACTTTACGCGCTTACGCGAAGCCTACGCGGAGCTTGCGCGGAGCTCACGTTGCCGCCCGTTTCGGGCCATGGTGTTAAGAGCTGGTCACGTCACCGCTCTCTGTTGGGAGCCTTGGTCTTATCAGCTTGTTTACGTCACTGTTCGGTCTTGGGAGCCGCGGTGCTCAGGGTCCGTTAACGTTCCGTTAACAGGGAACGCTTTTTCTTGTTAACGGTCCGTTAACAGGGGGAAGACGCGTCCGTCACCAGATTTTCTCTGTTAAGTCATTTTTGAGGGCTCCGTTAACAGGGAAAAGGGTGCCCGAGCGTCCGTTCTCTGTTTTTCCTTCTTAAGCACCAGATGTTCCATGTTAAGTGCCCCGTTAACAAGGAAAAGGAGTGGATTTTCCTTGTCAAACACCAGATGTTCCCGGTTCAGGGCTCCGCCAACAAGAAAAATTCGCTGCCCGAGCGAAACATGTCCTTGTGAAGGGCTCAGTTAACACGGAAAAAAGGATATTAGACCTGGGCCGGCACGGAAACGGAAAGAGCGTTTCAGGAATTTGACCGAAAGTACTCACACCACCGTTCGTACTGGGAGCCTTGGCGTTGAGAGTTTGTTACGTCACCCCGCGCTCCGCCTCCTCCTCCTCCTTTCCCTCCTCCTCCTCCTCCTCCTCCGCCTCCTCCTCCTCCTCCGCCTCCTCCTCCGCCTCCTTCGCCTCCTCCGCCTCCGCCTCCTCCGCCTCCTCCGCCTCATCGGCCTCCTCCTCCTCCTCCTCTTCCTCCTCCTCCTCCTTTTCCTCCTCCTTTTCCTGCTCCTCTTCTTCCTCCTCCTCCTCCTCCTCTTTTCCTGCTCCTCTTCTTCCTCCTCCTCCTCCTCCTTTTCCTCCTCCTTCTCCTCCTCCGCCTCCTCCTCCCTCTCCCCCTCCCCCTCCTCCTCCTCCTCCTCCTCCTCCTCCTCCTCCCTCCTCCTCCTCATCCCTCCCTCTTCCTCCTCCCGCCATCGCCTACAGCGTCGTGCTGTGGGTGTACCTGGCCGTCCTCGTCGGCCTCAGGTATGCCCTCCATCCATGGGGCTGTCGCCCTCCGCACTGCCCCCATTGGGGGGCGTCGGATCCATACCATAACCTAGAGGGGTCTATCGTGTTTCGACTGTCCCTCTATGGCCCCGCAGCCTCCTCTTCCTCCTCCTCACTCCTCCTCCTCCTCCCTCATCCTCCTCCTCCTCCTCCTCCTCCTACTCCTCCTCCTCCTCCTCCTCCTCCTCCGCCTCCTCCTCCTCCTCCCTCCTCCTCCCCTCCTCCTTCCTCCTCCCCCTCGCCTCCTCCTCCTCCTCCTCCTCCTCCTGTCCCTCCTCCTCCTCGTCCTTCCTCCTCCTCTCTCCTCCTCCTCCCCCTCCTCCGTCTACCTCCCTCCTACTCCCTTGGCCTCGTCCTCTCGTTTCCTCCTCCTCCTCATTCTCCTTCTCCTCTTCCTCCCCCTCCTCCTTCTAGCTCCCTCCTCCTCCCTTCGCCTCGTCCTCGTTCCTCCTCCTCCTCCTCCTCCGCCTTCCTCCTCCTTCCGTCCTCCTCCTCCTACTCCCCTCCTCCTCCTCCTCCTCCTCTTCCTCCTCCAGGTGCCTCCCCCTCCTCCTCCCCCTCCTCCTCCTCCTGCTCCTCCTCCGCTCCTCCTCCTTCTACCTCCCTCCTCCTTCCTTGGCCTCCTCCTCCTCCGCCTCCTTCTCCTCCTCCTCCTCCCCCTCCTCCTCCTCCTCCTCCTCCTCCTCCTCTCCTGCTCCTCCTCCCCTCCTCCGCCTCCTCCCCTCTTCCTCCTCCCCGTTCCTCCTCCTCCTCCTCCTCTTCCTTTTCCTTCCTCCTCTTTCCTCGTCCTCCGCCTCCTCCTCCTCCTCCTCCTCCTCCTCCTCCTCCTCCTCCTCCTCCTCCCCCTCCTTCTCTTC